GTGATACTGCCTCGGAAACCCAAGGAGGGGTCGCTATGAGTCGGGGCTGACTCGATGGCAAATAACAACAACAACAACATACACCAGAGAAAAGAAAGTGAAAAAGGAAAAAATCAAAAAGAAAAAAATTGGTGGAGAACAAGGCAGGGCACCCAGGCTCCATCTGAGCACACAGACTGTGATGGAGTTCCTGCGGTTCCAGTAGGTAGGTGGGAGTGTGGGATGGCCGCATCTCCGTTCACCAAGCGGGTGTGGGGTATAAGAGTTACAAGGGGTATGTCATACCTTTTCTCTTGTGCAAATCCGGGTGTCCTTGGGGTTGCTGGAAAGCAGCACCTGTTCTTAAACCCTGGTATCTGGGAGAGCGCTGTCTCTTTAAATATCCAAAATAGTCAAGGCAGTTATACACATTCAAAATGGCTGCACCCTCTGGACAGGCAAAATTCCACAGATCTGCCTGCCTTCTTCTTCCCTGCTGCTTCGCCTTTTAGTTCCCAGCCACCAGAGCAGTCCTCTGTGCAGTCCCTTGCTAGCAGGGCTGATTTTTAAGTTTATTCTTATGTCCTACTACCACTTGGGAATCTCCAAGCTGTCTGTGCCATCAGGATTGCTCAGGATCGCTGCCAGACCGCAGCTCCGTATGCCTACTTTTTTTGTATTTTCATGCAATTTCTTCTGTTAGTTGGGGTTTAGTTCACTTCTATGTCCTTCCCTTCAAGGCTCAGGGGTCCAGGATTATCTTCTGTTTCTTTGTTAATTGGTTTACCTTTTCTTTGTTGAAGAGTATCTGTGCAGTCTTTCTGCGTATTCCGCTATCTTGGAATCCAGCTGCCCATTTCATTTCATATGGTTGATTGTTCTGAGGAGTCTGTCCCTCCCTAGTGTTGTTATTAACTTTATAGACCTGTCTATTGTTTGGTGGAACTTTGAGCCAAGAGAGTGAGTTCAATTCTAGGCTTCAAAGGTGTCTAAGGGCCATAGTCTTGGTGATTCCACCAGTTTCAATTAGACAGGTAAGCCTGGTCTTTTTTATTATTTTGAGTTTTGTCCCACATTTTTTCCCCACTATCCAGGATCTCCTATTAGGTGATTCCTATCAGAATAGTCAGCAGTGGTGGCCAGGCACCATCTAGTTCTTCTGGTTTCAGGGCTGTAGAGGCTGGGCTTCTTTTGATACATTAGTCCTTTCGACCAGTTGTTTCTTTGCATCTTTCCTTTTCTCATTCTTCTTTGCTTTTCAGTAAATATTTTCAAATCAGTGAA